TTTCGGGAGGGTGAGGTGGTAGGCATTGTGGAGGGCACCCAACGAGTTTTTGTATACATCAGTTGAAGCACCAGGTACATACGAAGGCCAAATAATTATGACTCACAGGTCGTAGCTCCTTTCAGATGATCATTTTTGTAAACATTCTTACTTTGGCCCCAAAGATGTCACAGAAACTGCATCATTGGGACCATCAAACACACACACTTGGTTGAAAGGAAGAAATGGCTGGTGGCTATCAATATCAAACTGATATTAAATACAGAAGACAAGACACACACACATTCGAAATAAAAACAATCATAGAAGCAGACAAAAGCAAAAATTCACATGCAACACAATTTCTATGTGTAACAAGCCTTACAGAAAAGGTGTTCACAAACCTAAGAAAGACCAGCACACAGAGCAGCCCACTCCACATATTTAAAACCTTCACATTCTTAGGGAATGAAAGAAGTCAAGGTATGCAAATTTGACTCAACTCCTCACCTCCCACACACATCTGGCAGAACAGGATGCTGGACCAGATGGGCCCTTAGTCTGTGTTCATACATGAAAAGTAGCAATAGCAACCTTTAATGCATGACAATGTAAATATTAATACACAATAACAACACCAAACATTACAAGTTTGGCTGCCTTGATTATTGTGAATGGGTCTGCCATTATGTTTTTGCATACCCTGGAACCTGATGAATGAATGATCAGGGGCTTAAACAAAAAGGACTTAAATACTTCTTTCTAACCTTTGGAATGTCTCAGCCTTCAGCTGGTGGGTGAGACAAGCAGACAGTAAGTGTGCTATAAATTTAGGAGCTGTCTTGCTATGGGCTTCAGGGTAAGCTGTGTAAGCAGACCATCCTTGGAACTTCCTGCTGCTTGATGAACTGGGATGAGATAGACATATGCCCTTTGGTAACAGTATATTTCATGACTCCTGCACATGGAAATTGAAACTATTTCACTGAACTAGGAATAACGTTTTTACCATAGCTTCTTTCCCCCAGATATAATACGTGTTTTATCTATCAAGAACTTGGGTCTCTGAGGAATAAAATGTGCAGACTCGATCTGTTCAGCAGACCTCCTACATCCAAGATCTGTGGGTGGGTGGCAAGCTAGCTCTGGACAAAGGTTGCAGGGAAATAGTGTGTGTGTGTGTGTGTGTGTGTGTGTGTGTGTGTGTGCGCGCGCGCAGAAGTCTGTAAATAGTATTTGGCCAGTTGACAATGTGAACTTAATTCTAAGCTATTCAAAATCATTGATGACCAGGACATTTTTATTTTATAATTTGAGCAGATTGTAGTAAAATCTACCCATAAAATCCTGGAAACTGTATTCAGCAGTCCTTGAGGGGTTCAAGATATCATAAAGAGATCTTAGGGGTTTGATGACATATAAAAATTTATCACGCAAAATGAGGTTCCATGTGCTGGGTAGTGCTTCTGCTAAGCTGCATCTCTTATACTTTTGGGGTGACCAGTAGATTTTTTTATCAAATAAATCTGACTGACCGACACATTGTGAAGCCCGGCAGGTACCCAAAACAGTACGACTGATCTGAAGACATAGATTGTCACCTGTCTTCCCCATGACAACCTCAGATTACTAGTCATACTATGGCTGCCTGCCTGGTTCCACCTAATGCCACCCATCATTCTGGAATATTCTTCTTCCTTTTCACAGGACTTGGGTGGTAAGCCTGCCCTTGCTTTCAAGGAGCCACCTGACCTCAACTACAATGGATCACCTAATGGAGATACAAAACCTGCTGCTAATGCAGGCACCCCATCTGCTCAAGCGACCCTATGATGGCACCAACCAGCCCCAGCTATTCATTTAAGCCTTCACTTACCTGCACATCTTCTAAGGTGATACATTCCATCATCGGCAAGCAATGCCCTTTTATCATTAGCATTGGTCAAATTGGTCAGTATCTACAGAAGACAATGAATGCAACTGAAGCTGGACATTATAATGATAAGTCTCAGAAACCTATCTAGGAGCATTTGCTGTAGATGTGAAAACTCAGGATGCTCCAACAAAACAAAAAAAACCATTCAAAAGTGGGACTATGCTGGCTGTGACAGACAGGAGTTGTAGCTCAAAACATCTGGAGGGCACCAGGTTGGGGAAGGGTTGGTTTACGCTGTTGATCTTGCTATGTCCCTGTTAATCTCCCCTGGCTGCTTATTAGTCCTGTAACAGGTGACAGTTAGCTTGACTGGATCTTGCTTTTGTTTGTTTGGATTCCGTATTCATGTGTGCTCTGCGTGGTATTGTGATACACCTACTGTTGTACCTTTGCATTTCTCGGGACGTTTTGGAGTCACTTTGTGCTAAAAAATATTATCCTCGATACTCAAGATACAAACACACATGCACACACTTAGATGACTCTTTCATGCATTTGGCAAAATGATAGACCTCAGTCCATGCCACCATAAATGTTTAAATATTTAAGCTGCCTCAAGTCTTTGTTGTTTTTACACACTGAACTTTTATTGCTTTTTAAATGTCTTTAACATGATGGTGAAACACACACACACACGTGGGGAGAAATCAGTTTTGGATTTTTACCAATAGTAGTGATAACAATAGAAAGTTTAACATTTTTTTCTGATTTAGAGTGCCAGCAAGTGGTACTGCCCCACGTTTTAAAAAGATGCTTTGGAGTTGGACTAAACTGTCAGCTTTAGCAAACTGGTTTGAATTCCCTGCATTGTGGCAAATTTGTCCACACCTATATAGAGAAGGACTCAGTGTTTACTAGCTTGAGCTTAAACACAGACCCCTATATTTATGTAGATCTCACAACTGAAAAATTGAACTTTTCAGGCTGGGTTAACGCCACACACATATGGCTGGGTGATTATTACAACATATTCCCATCTGGTTGCTTCCTTCTTGTTGGGCAAGGAATAACAGGCAAGATATCAAATATGAAAAATCCTCAAAGCCTGAGGACAGAGAACCACCTAATAGCAGACTGCATCAGTGGGAGGGTAGCTATTATTTTTGTGTCTGATTTTTTTTTTTAAATTCATTCTGATTAATCTAGACACACTCTGCTTTCATTGACATGAAAGTGAGCAAACAGATACTGGCTCACGAAGTCTATTCTCCTGCCAGTGCAGGACGCTCACTTCCGCTGCAGTCTTTTTGTTTGTTTTCAGAGGCCACAAGATTTGGTCCACTCGCCTTGGTAGGCAGGGGCCTGACATTGTCGTCAGCAGCCTGACATTCTCCAGAAGCCCCCACAGGGCCCAGCTCTGCTTCTGTGATAAACATCTGAAGAGACCTTCTCTCCCTCCGATCCCACACAAGTCGAAGAGGGTGTTGTGGTTAATGTCTCATGAGAGACATGCAGTGTCCCACGGGATCAAGGCTTCCATGTGGTCACCACACTTCCTTTCTCTCTTGGCTCATCCACATGTGTTTTCCAATGGATCAGACTGCAGACATCATCCCAGGGTTGGCTATGAACAGAAACTCCAGCTGCCAGAGGGGGTTCTTTTTTGGGGTGGGGTGGGGTGGATGCCATATGAATCAATATTGTTAGTATTTCCTAAAATGTTGATATCATTGTTTCATGATGGAAAAGGATTTCGTCCTTAACATCCCAAAGTAACATACCATATTGGCCTGAATATAAGCCACACTTTTTTTCCAAATTCCGACCGTGAAAAGTTGAAGTGCGCCTTATATTCACTACCTCACACCGCCGGCAAAGTGGTGCGGCTCACCCCCCAGGAAGCAGCCTGGGTATTGTATTTTTTCTCTCCCCCCCCCCTTCAGTTTTAAAGTTGTGGCTTATTTGCGGGTGCGGCTTATATTTGAACCAATACGGTAGTTTGGATACAGCAGTACAGTGGCCCGATTCCAATTATAGGAAATCCAGTCATCAGTTTTCTTTCACTTGACATACACTCCTATACATCTGTTTTTTCCATCCCTTTGCTGTGTGTGAGTTTTGACACAATGGAAGTGGTATGATTCGGTGTGTTGTCAAGAGCTGTTGGGAGCTTATACTAAGAAGTTTTGTTTCTGTTTGCTGCCAAGCCCTGTAGTGGGCTACTGAATTGCAGCATCTGCAGAGGCCCAACATCCTCAGGCCATGGCTTGATCATACCCTCCCAGGCTGGTCACTGGATCCACTTGGACAGGTAGGACTATAAGAGGGATTCTTGTTCCTCTTAAGCGAAACAACAAGGTCTCCCTGAGCTCTGGTGTGGGCCTGGCTTGTTTCTTAATCCCGTCTCCTGCTTTGTCCTTTGGTCCTTACTTTTGGCTTGCTCTAGCCTCCTTATTTGGACTTGCCCTTCAGCCTAGGCTTCACCTAAGACTGCTGCCCATGGCCCAACCCTAATATGCAGCAGAAGTAGGCAGCTCTGTGAATAGAGAATGTACAGACCTGCTTTGTCTTTTTCTTTTGCTGCCCACACTGGGCTCAGAATACTCAAAAGTCCTGGGAAGAGGAAGGAAGTAAATATGCTTCTCCATCACCCAGACACCTGGCTTTCCCTGGGGATTCCTCACTCTGCCTGCTCTGAGCCTGGGGCAAAGGACCGGAACAATTTTGGCCCACATGCCCACATAAAACCTTCCTCCTTAAATAGGTTATTACATTTTGAAAACCCTATCAAAAAGAACTGCACGGTTGTCCAGAATTTACAAAGAACTTTGTAGCTACAGAAATCTGCTTTGCAAAAAAGTGGGGCAAACCTGGTACTTGATTGTTCAATATCATCAAGCAAAATGGATGATGGGAGCAGATAAAATGGGATGGGGCACAGGGAGAGGCTGACAGATGGGAACAGCAATGGGCGGATGTCCACTTCTACACATTTTGATGCAGACCTTGCTAAATTTTCCTAGAACCATATGCCTCTCTTTTAAGCAGCACAACATGATCACAGCAAACACTGTTTCATACACCCACCACCTCCCAGGTATTTTCTGTATTGCAGATCAGCTTAGTCAAGGCAACTGACCCACAGGCATGTGAGGGTGATCTGGTTGTGACATCTCTCATCCCATTGATGGCAAGGGATGATTCACTTGTTCTGACTGGCTAGACCAGGTGCCCCCCTCCTTTCCTCCCTGATCCACATGTATCCCCCCGAACTGACCCACAGTAAAACTCCAGTTGTAGAAAAGCCCTTAACTGAGCAGAAGTTCCTGCATGTGATTATTATGTGACTAGGCCTGTTCTACACAATTTGGTTCTCATACAGCTTCCCCCGCTAATCTTGGTGGTCATCGTTTCTCTGAAATTAATAAGCACACTGAGCTGCACAGACAGACTAATTACTGTCCTTTGCAATTAAGTTGTTATTCATCACTAATGGATGACTATAATTGGGTTCTAACTTTTACGAGCTATTTTGGTAACCACATCTCTGTCTGAGAAACACGTCTGAAAGTGAATTTCGAGTAGGGAATTAAATTTTACATCCAGGTCTCTCGCTCATTGCTCGCTTCTGGTAGTTTTATGGCTGGATTTCAGAGCCATTAGCCATGAAAGTTATTGTCTCACACACACAGAAGGGCAGGATGAATCAGTGGAGTGGCTTCTCTCACCCAAGGGTTTCCAGCTGGCTGTGCCAATACTCCATTGAGCCTTAAAGTGTTGGGCTAGTAAGTGGGAACTGCCAGCCAGGCCTGTATGGTTGGATGAGGCAGGTGGCTGTTAACCTTCTGCTGGCTGCTTTGGAGAGCAGCAAGATAGGCTCCAGGTTGGGGGGGGGAAGGGGGCAAGATGAAGTTGCTGTGCTCTGTCACCATGTCAACCCCTCAGAATTTGAATTATTGGGGGGGGGGGGAGAGACGATGTAGAAGAGCCTTGAATAGGAATACAGAAAGCTGTCTTACACTGGTCCATATTGCTCAGTATTGTCTACACTGACTGACAGTGACTCTCCCGGTTTTCAGGCAGGATTCTCTCTCAGCCCTAGCTGGACATACCAGGGACTGGACTTGGGGACTTTCTGTATGCATGCAGATGCCCTTCCACTGAATTATGGCCCTTCCCCAATAAAGTAAAAACTACAAACCCCAACCTGATCTCAGGGCTGGCCCATGTTATTTGCTACCTAAGGCAAAAGACATCCACCCCAATTCCATTTGCAGAAGTTGTCTAGACTGGTAGTTGAATCTTACTTCAACACAGGCAATAGACAATGTCGTCCAGCACACCTGCGGGATCCATAGGGGCTACAATAGCTTATACTCCCTTGTCAGGCCATAGGCCAGATCCTCATGGCCTCCATGATAACAGTGGTCTCTCCTAAGTTACATCTGGCCCTGCACATTTGGCAAGTTATACGCTCGACTTAGTGTTCTGTGCTGGATAGGACAATAGTGATAGGTGGGTGGCAGAATCACTATTGCTCCTTTGACCTAGGCAGATTGCTACCTAGTTCTATCTAGGCTTCCAGGGACTTCTGACCTCTCAAGAATTAGACCAGTCAGGATGGGCACAGAGGCTGATGGATTCCCAGAGAGTGCTCATGGCCCTTGAAGATTTTCCAGTTTGGCATCGTTAGATATCCTGTCAAAACTCTGACTGATCTGGGCTGCATCAATAGGAGTATAGCATCTAGATCAAGGGAAGTAATAGTGCCACTGTATTCTGCCCTGGTCAGACCTCACCTGGAGTACTGTGTCCAGTTCTGGGCACCACAGTTCAAGAAGGACACTGACAAACTGGAACGTGTCCAGAGGAGGGCAACCAAAATGGTCAAAGGCCTGGAAACGATGCCTTATGAGGAACGGCTAAGGGAGCTGGGCATGTTTAGCCTGGAGAAGAGGAGGTTAAGGGGTGATATGATAGCCATGTTCAAATATATAAAAGGATGTCACATAGAGGAGGGAGACAGGTTGTTTTCTGCTGCTCCAGAGAAGCGGACACGGAGCAATGGATCCAAACTACAAGAAAGAAGATTCCACCTAAACATTAGGAAGAACTTCCTGACAGTAAGAGCTGTTCGACAGTGGAATTTGCTGCCAAGGAGTGTGGTGGAGTCTCCTTCTTTGGAGGTCTTTAAGCAGAGGCTTGACAACCATATGTCAGGAGTGCTCTGATGGTGTTTCCTGCTTGGCAGGGGGTTGGACTCGATGGCCCTTGTGGACTCTTCCAGCTCTATGATTCTATGATTCTATGATTCTATGATCCCTGGAATGGAGAAATATCCCAGGTGACTGGCACAGGGCTCAAAGTTGCTGTTCATGACAAGAGCTTGGCCTGGAGTTCTGGAAGCTTAAGGCAATGGCTAGAGCATAAATAGGGGAAGACCTGCAGGGAGTACAACTGATCATAGTGCAGAGTTCATAAGGCCTATGCTGTGGGAGAACCTTCTCTGGGTGCCAGGTGAGGAGCAGCTGCTACTGAAGAAGCTGTTTTGGTGGTAGCCTGCAAGGGGGGGGGGGAGAGACTGTAGTTTAGTGGCAGAGCAACATCCGCTTTGCATGCAAAATGTCCAAGGTTCAATCTGCAGCATCTCGAGATCAGGCTAGGAGAGACTCCTGTCTGAAATCCTGGGGAGGAGCTGCCAGTCAGTGTGGGCAATGCAGAGCTAGATTGGACTGATGGTCCAACTCTGTGTTATGAAATGTCCTCCCTAGACAGGCTTGCCTGATGCCCATGTTGCCATCTTTTTAGCACTAGGCACTCAACAGGGCTAAGTTAAGTTTTCACTCTTAGTTTCTGGCCCTTGACTACAGTAAAACTGCCTGCCAATGTTTATCTGTTTTATGCCACCTGGAAAACATTTTGCTGTTGGGTGGCCTATAAAAAATAAAAGGCACATGGAACTGAAAGAACTGCATTCTCTTTCCTTGTGTACTCACCGCCTCAACTTCTTTCCCTTCCTGTGTTCTATCTCCTGCATTAGATTTTAGATTGTAAGCTCCTGGGGGCAAAGACCCGTCATCTTGCACTTTGATGCCAAATGTCAATCACACTGACAGTGTTAAAAAAATGCTGACATAATATGTTGCTGGAGGGCTTGGGAAAAGGTGACAAATCCAGCAGCCTGGAGGCTTCAGGCATAGTGATTCCTCATTTATCTTACTTGCTGCCTACCCCAGCATGACAGACCTAGTGCATTAGACACTGAACGAACTATGTACACAAATGTTTTGTTTTTTATATATTTTTTAAAAAATCTGTACATTCCTAACGAAATAGTTTCATTTATTTTTAATTGAGGTCAGCAGGATGTTGGGTCATTTCAATGCAATAGTGGAACGTCTCACATTCAAACATAGTCATAATTAGAGTTATAGTTACAAACACACATGAAGAGTCCTCAGCCAAGAAAATAAAGAGAAACAGCAGACAAGGAATGCAGGAAGCTCAAGTTCTGGAGACATCTCCTGCTTTCAAGAATCTGTCAGGCAAGGGAATCCATGTTTCATGAGCAGCACAGCAGTGCACCCTATTGGCTTATCCCTGTCTATACAACTAAAAATAGAAATTAACTCGAGAAATCACTGGGAATTGCAATAATTAAAAATGAAAAAAAACAGCTCCCTTCCCCACAAGGCACAAGTGGACACCTGCAATACAATTAAAGAAGGAATGGCAGTGGTGGGTTAGCTTGACTGTAGTGGCTCCACTTTGAGAAAGGAAGTGTGAAGTGGTTTGGCTCCCACTTGGTCCCCACATTCTGCCTTGCAGAGGAATTCAGAACGTGAATTCCATTAGGACCCCCTTACTTCAGTCTAGAAGTAAGAGCAAGGCTCCATCAATAAGACACATATATACAGTGGTACCTCGGGTTACATACGCTTCAGGTTACATACGCTTCAGGTTACAGACTCCGCTAACCCAGAAATAGTGCTTCAGGTTAAGAACTTTGCTTCAGGATGAGAACAGAAATCGTGCTCCAGTGGCGCGGTGGCAGCAGGAGGCCCCATTAGCTAAAGTGGTGCTTCAGGTTAAGAACAGTTTCAGGTTAAGAACGGACCTCCGGAACAAATTAAGTACTTAACCCGAGGTACCACTGTAAAGCCGTATCATACCATTTTAAACAGCCATGGCTTCCCTCAAAGAATCCTGGGAATTGTAGTTAGGAGTGCCTTGTGTTGTTAGGTGACCCTAGAGCTCTCCGAGAAGAATGACCAATCGTTAACACCCCTAGGAGTTCCAGTATTGCAATGAGGTCTCCTAAGAACTCTCGGCACCCTTAACTACCAAAGTGGTTTGACACAGCTTTAAAGGTACAGCACAGATGGGGGCCCGTTACAGGTTCTTTCTTGATGGTTATCCTTTAACAAGGTCATACCATATAACTTTGGGGTCTACATACAGCCACTAATACGGAACAATTTCAGAAAACTTATATGATGAGAAAATATAATTTAAGCTAATTAGGAATGGTGAGGTTAGCTCATTCAGTCTCTTTCATTCCAAAGCTTCTAAGAAGCCCCCCACCCTTCTGCCCACTTCTTCATTAAACTAACTTGCTGGTTACAGAATTTGGCTAGCCTTTTGTAATCGGCTATATTCATCTGATTCTTCCTTGGCCAGATGTATCAAAACTCCCCACACACGCACTGCAAATTCTGTCATATCCATAGATGATCTCATAGGATGCTGTCTTACACCACACCATTGGCTCCATCTAATTCAGTGTTGCCAATACTGACTGGCAGCAGCTCTCCAGGGTTTCGGGGACATTCCCAGCCCTACCTGGAAACGGCAGGGATTGAGCCTGGAACCTTCTACATGAAAAAAGCAGATGATCTACCACTAAGCTATAACCTTGCCATTTTTAAAACATTTGTTTGAACCAACAAGTTACATGTTGAAGAGCTGCTGGAAGAGGCAAGTGTATAGTGAAGGCATTATTAAAATATTAACACACTCGTAAAAGATGGGGGGGTAATCTAAATAGTCAAATATGAGAGGGCAAAGATCTCAGGAGGACTTCCTATCCTGCCCAAGCAGCAGTCAATCTCATCCAAAAAAAATCAAGGTTGGTAGATAACCCAGTCTCTGTTCTATGAAAATGGGAATGTCTCCATGTGATTGTGGGGCTCTCTGTTAGATGGGCACACTGTAAAGTCTTTCAGGTAAATTGCTTTACTAGCTGAACTACTGCCTTTTCACCCAGGACCCAAGAAGATCAGACCCCAAACTCTGAATGCTCAATTAGACCTTTATTTAACACAGTGTGAGGGGGCTTGGACTTGTTGTCAAGTTCACTCCCAAGGCTGTAGCTAAAGGTTGTTTCCATTAAGCATATTCTGCATGACTTTTGCATGGTGCGTGCTGGTCTGAAGAAGCCTTAAACTATTCACAAAATGGAACCTTTTGCATTCATCATTGGGAGTCATGATTCAGATTGGGAGCCATGAAGGCTCAGCAGCCCTGAAATCAAAGACTGCTTATATACCTGGCCTGTGCCCTAAATGCACTGGGAACAGTTCACAAGACTGAGATACATGGGGAATGAGGCAGGGTGGGGAATCACACAGCTGAGAAGAAAGGAATGACTGGATCTTAGAAAGGAAGTATACTCAGTTTGCTTGCACATTCAGGTTACCAGAAGGCCTTATATGAGGAATGGGGAGTGGCAGAAGGGGGGGGACACAGTAAGCAAACCTTTACATGCCCTCCAGGGCCTCATTTATTAAGTGGGTACAAAAATAAAATCATATAAAGATGCAGAAGCACCTCAGCGAAGAACAGTCACGATTAGGAAACAGCACAGCATGAACATGGCTTAGTACACACATTTTAAAGAAGCAGGGAGCTCACTGAAATAAGATCCCTGTTCTGCCAACATTGCCCCTGACAGGGAGCATTAGGAATGCCTCACGGTTCTAAAGAGCTTTCCGTCTAGACACTTCAGAACTCATAACCTGCCAACAAGCATCGCTCCTAAGGTTGCATCTCAAGCCAGCAGCGTCTCCCGCAGCTGGTTCAGTGCTGTAGCTGGAAGCAGAAAAAAGGAAACGTACCGTATGGAAGGGGTCACCACCTAGGCCAAGGGGGGGTTTGCACCTGTCACTCTTTAGGGTTCTGCTACCTGCACCAATGCTGCCAGTCCTCTGTAACCCATCTGGAATGGCAGCAGTGAACACAGTGCCTTGCAGGCAGAGACAACCCCGTTTTGCTCTTTGTTATGCAGGGATAGGCAGGGTATCAACAGAACTTGAGGAACAGGAGCCTAGGAAGCACCACAGTCCTCAGAGGAGGGCTGCCTGCAGCATTAGCCCCTCTTTGCAATGGCAAAACAAAACTGGCACAACAGAAGCAAAAACTGAGAAATAATATGTGAGTGGCAACCTGATGGTTAAAAAAAAAATACTTTTAGAAGTAGAATACATGGCATTTCTCCTACATTGCACCAAAGGTAATTTGGAAGCACTTTCAGTTGGTCTTATAGGCAGAACAGGGAACTGAAAGACAAGCCACCCATGGCTTTCGACCTCCCACAAGAAGTAGATGTATATATTGAATGCCTGGCTTTGAATTGCTATTGCTTTCACATCTCTGAGTCTGCATACATCCCATTGATTAGGTAGTCCACTTGGGTGTAGTCTTTCTTCCTGTAGCTCTCATAGGCCTGTATCACAAACAATACTACAATTGTTACAAAAAACAGGACTCCAAACAAAAGCACTGCTAAGAGCAAACTAACATCTACTGGGCGATAGCTACCCTCACTACCTGTGTCCTGCTGATCTTGGCCTTGGTTTATGGTTACTGATTTGGGCGGTGCCACTGGACTTTTCGTTGCAAACACTGACAAGGGATTTGTATAAGTTGTGACAAGCACTGGTTGACTCGTAGCACTCACAGGTTGCTCTGCAGCGGTGGTGGTTTCAGCACCCTTTGCAGCCACACGAGGCGTTACCCTATCTGGAGTTGTCTTTACAATTGTTGTGAGTTCAGCTGACTTTGTTGCTACTGTGGATGGTCTCTTGGTTGTTTGAGATATGCCAGTGGCTGTTGAAGTTGGTAGATTCTGGGTGGCTGTAGCTAGTGAACTCTGGGTGGCTGATGCTGGTGGATTTGGGGTGGCTGCATTTGAAGATGAGTTTACTGGGCTTCTTGAGCTGCTTCCAACACTGCTAGAGCTCACTGGTACAAGAGTGCCGGTTGCCATACCTGTTTTGTTGGTTGTGGGAAGCACTGGATTGTTTGCTGCTGTGGCAAAAGAAGTAGGAATAGTCCTGGGAGTTTCTGTTGTTTTAGCAACTCCCAAAGTTAACTTACTGGTCTGCGCCCCTTTTGAACTTGATGTACTGTTAACAGTAATAGCACTTTCAGTTAAATGGAAAGGTGTGGGAGGCAACGATGGTTTCTGAGGGGGAGTGCTGGGACCAGAAGTCACATTTGGGATGCCTAGAGTTGTATTACCATGAGTTGTGGTTACGTTGTTACTAGCTGTGGTTATGGCTGTTGCTCTACCTTGGGAGATGGCAGCGATCGTGGAAGTGGCAGTGGTAGTTGTGCTGACCGCAGTACCTTCTGCTACCTTCCTCTCTGGAGCTTTTGGCAAAAGAGGCACTTTTGTTTCTGTCTCAGCAAGTCTTGTTTTATTCAGTAGCTCCTGCTCTCCAGCAGACTTTCCTGTGTTGTTTGTTTGAAGGGCTCCTTCATGATCTCTCCTTTTACGGATCACAAATTCTGGCCAGAAACAAAACAAAACAAAACAAAAGACCAGAGACACAATCAGGATTGGGCTGCAGATAAAGAGTAGATCAAATGGCAGTCGATAAAAGAGTCCCAGGAGTTGTACTTTTGTGGTGCCACCTCCATTTACAGTGAAGGAGAGCTATAGAATCTACCAGCTGTAATACATCATTGATTTCCATCTATAGAATTGCATAGATTGACACATATAATACGCACCCCAAATACAACTTGCAGTAAGCGAGCAGATATTGCTTTAAATAATTGGTTGCATAGATCTTTTAGACTAGTTATGACAGAAGCAAACATCCTCAGTAGCATAGCTTCATTACCACCAGTTAGCTTTATATATATGCTGCATATACTCCGATATAACCATTCTCCATCTCCATATGATTAACGAAACATTTTTAAAGCAGTCGCCATATTGCAAAGACTGAACAAAGGCTGAAGGACTGGTTCCACTGACTGACTCCCATTCAAGCCAAGGGATCTTTAACCTCCTCTTCAGAGGGAACAGTAACAAAGACTTCGTTGGAGACCCACCTGATATACCTCATGTCTTGTCTGCTCGAGGGAGTGGCTGAGGCACACAAGATGTACATATAAAAAAAAGAGAGCCTTGTCTTTCACACAAGGGAAGAAGACTTTTTAGAAATCACTTAGCCTTAGCCTGTGCCACAAGAGAAAGTTGGCAGAGGTGTACAGCTGAATGTCTCCAAGGGAGTGAATGAGCTCCTGGGGCACCAGTTGTTTATCCTTCTGTTACTCAAGCACAAAACACATCTTAGAAGTCCTTTCTGGATCAAAATTCAAACTCAGCTAAATATCAGAAAGAAAATAAAGAAATGTATTTCTTGTCACAACTATTCGCTCTTGGCTGCAAGAACCTGTTCAACTTAATATGGCAGCTAAGTTCCTGAGAAGTATTTAAAGGCCAGAAACAAGCATGAAAAGCTGTCCTTTCAAAAACGCATGTACAGCAGAACTTTCTCACACCCTTTACAAGACTGATTCCCCAGTTCCTAACATGTTTCGTTTTGTTATGGTGTCACTTGCAATTAGAGCAGAAGACTCCGCTGCTGCAAAATCCAGTGTCAGCTATGGAAGCTAAAACCACTCCAATTACACACACAGCCTCCAGTTTCTGGCTTGAAAACCAACAGGAAACGAATGCCAATATTACCGCCTTTCCTCAGGGAAACAAGGGTGCAAAGATAAACAGAAAAAGCACCCAGAAAGGGAATGATAGAGGCACTTTTAAAAGGGGGACAATCTAAATCAAGTTGTTTCAAAACCACACAATTTCATTTCCGAGCCTTGTGTCAGGCAGGATTGTCAGATGGGGTTTTGGTGGGACCTTGGACAAAGTACTGACAGTGCCAGCCCCCACTTCCCTCCCCTCTCACAGGAGGATTGCTTCATGATCCTCAATTCCTGCTGGCCTCCCAAGCATCAGAAGGCAGGCGGACCCTTCAGTCACCCACAGGCTTTTGCTGGTCCAGACCATGATGTCATGATCCCACCCTCTGCCACTCCCCAGGAAATAATCAGATTCATAGTTAACTGAGCTAACTTTCTCTAGGATTCATGAGTTGGTCATGAGTTGGAGAGCCAGTGTGGTGTAGTGGTTAAGAGCAGTGGACTCATAATCTGGTGAACCGAGTTCACTTCCCCACTCCTCCACATGCAGCTGCTGGGTGACCTTGGGCTAGTCACACTTTTGTGAAGTCTCTCAGCCCCACTCACCTCACAGAGTTTTGTTGTGGGGGAGGAAGGGAAAGGAGATTGTTAGCCACTTTGAGACTCCTGCGGGTAGTGATAAAGCGGGATATCAAATTCAAACTCTTCTTGGTTAGACCCTGGAAGGGATTCACCTAACCAGCCCTGCCAGTGGAAGCCCTGAACAAGGACCTCTCTCCTCTCCTCTGCACACTGAAAATGGATTGGGAGACACCCCCCACCAAAAAAAGAAAAACAATGTGCAGGGGGAGGAGAGGGAGGAATCATTACACCTGGCAGACTGAAATGCTTCCACAGATGGGAAGATTGAAAGAGCGTGGCATTCCTAGGGTGGGTTGGGGAGCCTTTTCTAACTTGGAATCCAGATTATGGAATATTTCCCTCAGAGTATTTTCTTCATTGCCCACTGTTATGCTGAAAACTGTATTCTTTTGGAAGGGTTTTTTTCCCTTTAGTTAATTCTCTGCCTGGCTTTTTTTATCCTTCTGATTCTGCAGTTTTTAATTGTTGCCAGTTTTTTTATATTATACTTTATATTGTTACATTAGACTCCTTTGTCTTAGGACACCTTGAATATTCTACCTAGAAAGGTGGGGTATATGTTTTTAATATAAATAATCAGTCTCGCAAAATAGCCTATAATCACATCCAAAGAATCTTTACCTCTCAAATGAAACTTGTGGAAATCTGATAGAGCCCCCTTTAAACACTGTAAACATCTGGATGGTGAGGTAAGAGAATGTTGCCTTTAGTAATAGCAATAGCTGCTGCAGCAGCAGGTTTTTTAATCATGAGCTGTCCCATTGAATCCAAATTACCTCCCATTAGTTCTTTAACATCCTGTGTGCTGGCGTTCTGACATGCACTCAGCTGAGGACAGCGCAAGAGGACACAGTGGCTCTGATACAGCACTGACCAGCAGTAGAGATTACCTAGAATATCACACAGGAAAGGAAGATCATCACTCTCACTGGTATAAAATGAATCACATTTAATCCTATTAGCAGAGTTTTAGTATGGTGACATTTTTACTTATTTTATTTCATAAAATGTACATTCTGCTTGATTGAAGAACAAAACCTCAAAGCGGTTTACAAAAAAAAGACAAAACAATAAAATCATTAGCAAAATTTTACAACTGTGATTTAAAACATACAGAGAATGGAAACTGCAATAAAATAGACTAAAACAAATTAAAACTCCTACAAAGCTCTAATCATCTGTGAAATGAACAGCACAAATACTAGACTGCAACAATTTGTCAACAATATTATACTGCTTCCCTTAAAAAATGAGTAAACAAGGACAATAATGTCACAGATAAGGGCTAGTGTGCAAGTAATGAGTGAGGATTCAAAGGGGTCCAGTTACAATAAGAGTTTTGCTGTAAACAGTGTTAGTGGGACAGAAAGCTTACAACATGGGTAGGCAAACTAAGGCCTGGGGGCCAGATCCGGCCCAATTGCCTTCTACATCCGGTCCGGGAATCAGCGTGTTTTTACATGAGTAGAATGTGTGCTTTTATTTAAAACGCATCTCTGGGTTATTTGTGGGGCATAGGAATTCGTTCATATTTTTTTTTCCAAAATATAGTCCGGCCCCCCACAAGGTCTGAGGGACAGTGGACTGGCCCCCTGCTGAAAAAGTTTGCTGACCCCTGGCTTACAAGCTCCAGGCAAGTCCCTTCAGATAAAAAGTAGAAGCAAGATAAAAGGAGAAGGCAGCTACAAAGACTTGCATTTCAGCCGTGAGGGAGGGGACCAAAGCTCAGCCACACGGCATGTGCTTTGAATGCAGAATGTTGTTGGGGCCGACCTTTGAACTGTCAGTTAAGAAAACCTCCAGCAAGAAAACTAGGAAAAGACCCACATCTGAGGACTTGGAAGAACCTCCCTGCCAAATGAAGCAGACAATGCTGGACTGGAACGTGTGTCTTACGATGACAAGATAAGAAGCTGGGCACATTTTACTTAGAGAAGATTGGTGGTAGGGGCATGATAAGCAGCTTCGGGCGGGGGAAGCCGCAAGAGAGCAAACCCAACCACTTCCTAACTTATAGCAGCATCCATAAAAGCTAGGTAATGTGAAAAGTTGCTTTGGGAAACTGAAGTCCTCTTCCCTTACGGCCTTTAAATAGGGAAACTGATGAGGATCTGTCAGGGTTGATTTAAGCCTAGAATGAGATGGGCAAAGCTGTGACCCTCCAGATGTTGTCAGGCTCCAACTCACCACAGCCCCAGACAGCTTGGACAATTGTCAGGGACGTAGTCCAGCAACATCTGGGGGGAATCATTTAGTCACCCCGAGTCTAGAAGCTCCTAAAGTTCCAAGGGGTTTGATTAAGTCACCCGTGAAGCTCATGTCAAACTGGATTGCAAATCCATTCCAAGGATCTCTGGGGCATTCAGGTAACAGGGCAACAAGGACACAGAAGAATGTGAAACTTCATCAAATACAGAGACATTTGGCGGAAGGGTATGTTAAGTAATCTAACACAATTTCCTTGCTACCGTTACACACAAAGGCTCTTCTATGCTTGCTGCATTGTAAAATTGTAAAAAAGAAATAGAGAAAAGGCAGTCCCTGGAAAACGGATGCTGTTTTCAATTTGACTAAGGTTGTGAAGTCATTTAGCTACTGCATATGTAGCAGCCATAATCACAGATGCTGTGAAAGGCCTAAGCAGACGCCTACTGCCCCAAAGGAAGAGATTTATGGTCAGGTGAGGTAATCTTACCTGATGCTGTTGGGCCTTTACAAGCTTGCTTGCAATGCTTTTCACTGCTGAGCAGATGTACATGTGTTACCTGGACCCCCCTCTCCTTTAAGATGGAGCTGCCGTTTTCAGACACACATAAGGAGATCAACAGAAAAGACCCAACAGCTGTCCACATCTTGAAGGCCTGCCTTGGAAGGAAACGAAACTTCTCTGGATAGTACCTCCAGATTTAAAAGCTGCTGTCGGGTCTTAAGTAGCACATCTGCAAAAGAAAAGAAAAAACACCACAAACTTACACTTTCCAGTCATTTCCAAAACATTTCCAGGCCTTCACCCAGCTGCCTGCAAAAGCCCTCTCTTTCTATGGGTCCCGCTACCACACACTGGCGTGCTATACACATTGAGAAGACAAAAGGCCACAAGTGACTTCAACAATGGTAGTTTCCTCGAGTTTGGAACACTCCTCTTTACTTTCCTAGCACACTTAACAGAATGGCATATGACTTGGCCTGATGGGAGCAGTGATTCAAAACATCTGGAGGGCGCCAGGTTGGCAAAGACCAAGCAACAGAATGGTCTGCAAACATGTGACAGGAGTCAGCTATTGAGACCAAGGTATACAGGCCAAAGCGGAGCCTGGATTAAATTTATTAATGAACCATTGAAGTTCATAGTTGTGGGACCAATGAATAACTACTTAAGATTAGATTGACCCCTAAAGAAAAATTCTTAGAAATATTAACAGCTACAAGCAGTATTATTAACATAACCACCACGTAACGCAATCTACTACTACCTCTCTCTACTCTTGCTCAGCCACCTCCACAGTTGATGGCCCATGGAAGGCCAAGTGTCCCCACAAAAGAAAAAGCTGCCTGAGCACCTCATTGCAAGTACAGTGGTACCTCAGGTTAAGTACTTAATTCGTTCTGGAAGTTTGTTCTTAACCTGATACTGTTCTTAGCCTGAAGCCCCACTTTAGCTAATGGGGCCTCCTGCTGCCGCTGCACGATTTCTGTTCTCATCCTGAAGCAAAGTTCTTAACCCGTGTTAGCAGAGTCTGTAACCTGAAGCGTATGTTACCTGAAGCGTATGTAACCTGAGGTACCACTGTATTTTCATTTTGCTCATCTGGAAATCTACACTTGGAACATAAATAAGGCCTAAGAGATCTTTTGCTTCCTTGGCTAAAATACTGCAGAATGAATTTTGCTGCTGGTCAGGGAGCAAAATTATACCACCACGGGAAAGGTCACCTCCTTAACACCTGGGAAACATGCACTGTATTAAATATCTTATTATCAGAAAGCATTTTTTCATTTCATTTCCCATAATTCTGATGGTTTATGTCTCTCTTTGGGGTTGCTTGCACTGCTTCCATAAAGTTTTAAGGTTGTTGTTTTTCAGAAGGCAGATTTTGGATGTTAATACCTAAAACAAAACCTTTAAAATATTTAAAATTCAGATGCCCAGAAAGATGTCAATCATATAATGAAGGATTAAAATATTCTGCATAGGTGATATAATCCATTTGGAAGCTGTATTCATATCATACCTTCCTTTAACCTCATCACAAGACAGAGGCAGGATTGTATTTTGTTCCCATGTGTGAGACAGGTAGCCCACTCACTATAGGTGTGACTTCTGAAATCTCCTCCTCTATATATGATTGTTTTACATGCTTTTAGATGGTTACGATCATTTTAAATTTCTTTGGATGTTTTAAATTGTTTTATGTAGTTATTTTATTTTTAATTCTCACTTTTGTGTTTGCTGTCCTGGACTCCTTTGGAAGTAAGGGCGGGAAGCAAATTTAATAAAATAATAATAATAATAATAATAATAATAATGATGATGATGATGATAAAAGTCTCCTTCTTTGGAGGTCTTTAAGCAGAGGCTTGACAACCATATGTCAGGAGTGCTCTGATGGTGTTTCCTGCTCGGCAGGGGGTTGGACTCAATGGCCCTTGTAGTCTCTTCCAACTCTATGATTCTATGATAACATAGGACAGGCTTGCCACCCTGCCATGGTTTTAGCAACTCTTTTTATTCTTTCTTTACAGGAGAAACACTAAGATGTACTAACGTTTACAATGCAAGAAGGGCCTACTTGCTCTGTGGCTGCATTGAGACTTTGAAAAAGACTTCTGACCTTCTTGCACTGAAGTCTCTCCAGTGTCTTAAACAGCAGAGAATAAATCACTGCATGAGACAAATCCTGAATTCAACTTCCAGGGGCTTGGGGTAGCGATATTAACCTTTTGCAGCAAAAACAAAGCGTCCTGTAGCACATTAAAGTCTAACAAATTTATATGGCAGAAGTTAGTCCACTATACCCTGGGTGTGGGTGTGTAGAAAGGGTGGTGGGGAGATTATGTTTCTGAACAGAAGCACAGTGTTCAGGCTTGAATATCAATCTACAAAATGTTTCAGCCTTAAAGAGTAATAGAACAAGTCTTTGCAGACTTAATGAGGGTAGACATTTCCCATTACAGTGGTACTTCGGGTTACATATGCTTCAGGTTACATATGCTTCAGGTTACATACGCTTCAGGTTACATACTCCGCTAACCCAGAAGTAGTGCTTCAGGTTAAGAACTTTGCTTCAGGATGAGAACAGAAATCAGGCTCCGGCGGAGCAGCAGCAGCAGGAGGCCCCATTAGCTAAAGTGGTGCTTCAGGTTAAGAACAGTTTCAGGTTAAGAACAGACCTCCGGAACGAATTAAGTACTTAACCTGAGGTACCACTGTACGGCCTCTTTTGTGGAAGCAGCGATATAAAAACTAGCAAGCGATCTGACTGCTGGACACAGTTAAATTGACAGCTTAGTTTTACATTAGGCTCAACACCAGGCCTCCACTTGGAAACAAGGGTTTACAGTGTGCATGGGCATTATATCCTCTGATTTTCTATTTGAAGATTTTGCTGTGAACCACTAAAATTTGAGAAGGCTGTGGAAGGAGACATGCACCCTAACTTGGCCTACAGTTCCGTGGGTATTCTGACTGGAAGCTGGCCTTTAGCAATACAGGAAGCTGCTTATACCGAGTTCAGCTAACTCAGAACTATCTAAACTGATTGGCAAAGGCTCTCCAGGCTTTTCAGGCAGGGGATTTTGCGCAGCCATACCTGAAAATGCCAGGGAGTGAGCCTGGGACCTTTTGTATAAAAAGGATGCGCTTTTTAAAATTTCATAACATGCCAGTATTCCAGAAAACGAACAACGCCTCCCCCATCAGCATTTGGCTCAATTTGGTTGATCCAAATTTAAATTTAAACATAAATTATGTTCACTTTGAACCTCCCTCCTATGTTCATCAATAAACCATTGTTTCATTGGTAACATAAGCGGAATAATGACTACTACTCATACTTAATCTAAGCACAACCACAAGGGCTCCTGATTGGGTGTTTAGCTATGCGATGTTTAATGTTCTCACTTATTTCTGTTCTATCCTGCTTCCCCTTTGTTTTTGTTCAAATCAATTCACGAACCAAGAACCTATACATTGACCACTTATGTTGCAGATATTACTGAAAATTAATTATGCTAGTTTTGTGATATACAAATGGCATGAGATAACTTGGTCTATTTATTTGTATCCTATGATCCTTGTTCCTAAAACCCCAAAACAAATTGTTATTATTTTTTAAAGCAGCATGTGATCTTCCACTGGGCTGCACTCCCCTTCCCCCTTAGGACCAAGAGAATTCCATCTTGCAATTTGACAACTTTTCCATTTATGGTTGCACGATAAAGTCAATGTGCACTAATAGTTCGGGAACAAAACATAGCTTTTAGAAGGCTGTATTTAATTTTGTGCTCCATTATGCCATTAATTTTATGCTCATTTTTCAAGGTATTTATAGAGTTGACAACCTTTGTTCTTTTTCTGAATGTTTAACTAGGTCAGCATTTCTAAAATAAAAATCACCAAAGTAAGTGAAATCCAGAGCTGTGATATTAAGTAGAACTCACAATCAGTGCTTTTTTTCCCCCTAGAGAAAAAGGTGCCGGAATGTACCTCCCTTGGAAAGTCCCACCCTAGAACCCAAAGAGGCGAAGGGAGCCTTCTGTGCCTCAGCTGAGCAGCTTAACAAGCACCCACCATAGAAACTAATGGTGCATTTTCACATGCATAACTGACCTACTCCTATAATTGTGTCATCAACATTCTGCTGGTTCAGTGAGTAGCTTCTATAAAGGTAAGGCACCCATGATCCATTTTCAAATACAGAAATGATCTACTCCTACAGGATGTGCAAAAACAATCAGGACTTCACGTTGAGCAACAAGCAGAATCAATATTTGCATTGGGAGATGGGATGTCAAGCAGCGCTGAAACAAAAGTCAGAGGAGTGCATAGGAATTTGGCTCAACACTGCAGACTCTATTAGCGACACATAACATTTCAAACGTCTGTGCGGAGCGCAGTGTATTTACACGTTCATAGCCAAAGTTATACTGGATGTGGGAGAGCATTTCAAAAGATCTAATTCTTGCACACCATAAATAGCCCTGAACAGCTTTACAGCATGCCTTTAACTAAGCAGTAATCTTTCAGTCATATAACTCAGGCCCAACAATACTACAGAACATCTGCCCTTGCTGCCGGTGGATTATTTCCAAAAATGCATCATCTGCCTTTTTGGATCAAACTGTGCATGTACTGGGGAAGGGCTTGGCTGGTGCTTACATAATGTTCAATAACAAAATCTATAAGGAAATGCTATAGGACAGAGAGGACAATGAATGCAACTAACCTGCACATTGTTGTTATCTAAGTAATAGCAGGGGGAAGTGGTTTTATCCTGCCCCTGCCATGGTCCTGACAAAAATTGCTCCCCCAGCTGCTATTTGCATCAGGAGAGAAGCCTTCTTTGGCATCCCATGCACAGCATAAGATAAGCCCTGCTCAATTGGGCCAAAGGCCCATTGAGCCTAGCACCCTGATCTCATAGTGGCCAACCAGATGTCCTTGGGAAGCTCACAAGCAAGACATGAGCAGAACAGCACTCTTCCCATTTGTGACCCCCATCAATGTGTATTCAGAGGCAGACTGACTCACAACATTGGAGGTAGTACACAGCTGCCATGATTAGTAACTATCAATGGCCTTCCCCTCCATGACTTTGTCAAATCCTCTTACAAAGCTCTGTCAGTAGCCATCACTACATCATGGAGCAGCAAACTGGTGCCTCAGGTTTTCTGAACATCTTTTCCTATGAAATGCTTGCCGGCTTTGTTGCTCAAGGCACAGGAAACCATGTACTCTGTTAGCACAATGCCCCTTACTTTAGTGCACAATGGCCTGGAGTGTGTAGGCTGATCTGCACTGGGTTTGGAGTACAAGAATTTAGCTAGAGGGTCTTCTGGCCACTTCCCACTCTGGTTATAAGCCATTGCCAGCTAACATGATGTCCTGCTTCCCAGGAGGTGGCAAACTAAGAAAGGTCGCTGGGAGAAGTTAACTCTGCTTTCAAGTCTCAAATTAAAAATCTAAGGGTGCATGTGACAAATGCCTAAATGGATTCCAATACTACTAGATCACATATCCTTTGATTTGGTAGGTCAGGTCATATAACTTGGGAGAGCCTTCCTGAAGTCAGAGTTTAAAAAATGTCAAAACCTTATCTCAGATATAGCAACCACTTTCCTTCCCCCTTCAAAATAAACGTTCAGAAGTTAAATTCACCCTAGTTATAATAATAATATTGTTTATACCCAAGCCACTCTGGCAGCTTCGAGTTAAACAAAATAATAATAAAATGTCTGACATTTTATTATATATTGTAGTCAATGAACTGGTGTTCCTTTAGCAATATTTTTATTCCTCAGGCTTTTTTTTATTAGTTATTGTTTTTGATGCAAACGAACTAAAACAGCTACCCTCTTGCTGATTTTCTCCACTCACATGGAAGCTGTGTGACATCTGGCTCTCCCAGCTGCCTTTTCAGGTTTTTCTCAACTGAGATGGTTCAACTGGTTTCCCTGGCTTCATTCCCTAGTTCATTCACCTTAGAACTTCTCTAAAGTGATCTCTCTTAGCAATGAAAGAGGAACTTCCTGGACACCGCTAGAGTTTTTTCTAGGCACTGTTTCCCTAGATGGAAACAAGTAAAAAATAAGTAGATGGTAATTTGCACAGGAGAACAGCATCCCACAAATTTGCATAATGGTTGTTGTTGTTTTGGCCTTATTTTCCCTAATACTGTGCCATACCAGCCTTTTTATCCTGTAAGAGCACTAGTCACTCACTCAAAAATTCAAATCCTGTTCCTCCCCAAACCACTGCATTCCTGCATTTCCCGGCTGCTGTTCCATTTTGTAGCTTTATTTTTTTCAGCTTCCCTTGCAAATGTAGCACAAGCCTTGAGGTAATGAACTGATTAAGGAAGGCAATTGTCTTGTCAGATGCAAGGAGACTGGTGCTGTAACACCACTTCCTTGCAATACCTGCCCCCACTGCCATTGCAACAGAACAGGTCTTGCCTTGCTGTAGTATCTTTTTAGAAAAGCTTTTTCTTGTCATTTTTTTCATAAAGCAACTGATCTACATAGTCCTCCAACCATCAAAATTCCATTTCATTAACACAGACATTCTTGCCCTTGTTTTTTTTCCTGCAAAAAGGAAAAAAAATACACCAGCAGACAACCCAGTCAACTTGACTGCAGGATAGTGAGGAACCACGGTGCAATTCACATTCAAATATACGCTGTTTGTGTTATTTTATGCAACATACTATGGTATATTGTCAACAGAATTTTAGATACAACGTGTTTTTCAAAAATAGGTTTCACATACCTAGCTCCTCTAAATTGCTACTTTATCGATGGATATTCTCTCGCAAGGAGTGGTACACACTTGAAAATTCCCGTGGGTCTTGCTGGACCATTTAATGGTTTTCCACCTGTTGTAGCATTTGTGCTGTGCTAGATGCTGTATGATATTTAATAGCATTTTTTCAGAAACACACCATGAACCACCTGAATGAAACTAACAGACCACCAGGTCCACAGACAAGAGTTTGGCAACCCCTGGCCTAGAACATACCTCAGAAGAGCCCTCTGCAATGCACTCCATGTTTTGGACAGATATTCCACAGCAGATGAAAAGGTAATCTGAGAAACACTCATAATGCTGCCAGTTATGTCTGGGAAGGAGAACTATAGAAAGTCACATTGATAATGCAACCCAGATGCACAACTGACAGCCTCCATAAGAACAAAGCACTCAACCTTCACAAAACAATGCAAGTATCACCACCGGAATAAAACCTTGGTTATATATATGAGGCCTATGGAAACCTCACACATGTTAATAGAGAGGGTGCATGTAAGGTTTTGCAAATGTCAAGCTTAACATTGTTCAAAGCAATGTTCTCTCTTGCTCCTTCCTTCCCCACCCTCCCAGGGGACACACACACACACACACACACACACACACACAGCTTTGTTCCCCCCAAACACTCTAGTAGCTGCTATGGTAGACTGCACTGCTCTTTGAAGGCTTCCGTATGAAAAATTACAAGGCTGAAGTTCCATTTATGAAATGTCACTTCATTTGGAATATCTGAAACAATCCAGTTTAATATAAAGAAAAATGAACTGCCAAACCCCACGTATAAAAGTCAGGATTGGACAATAAATCTGCCAATGTAAACGCCTCCAAGGAATAGAAACTTGCCTGGAAACTGGGCTGTTGCCTTCCAGGGCCTAATCAGGAGTGAAAGGCACAAGTGAAATTGTAAATGCACAGCCTCCGTGCCAGGACGAGAAGCTCTTTGCTTTTCACACACTGTTGCAGATTAGGAGAACTTTTAAAAGCTCCAACTCAAAGCTCAGTTCCCCAGTGGCTTCTGGGTGAAGACTGCATTCAAACAAGCAAGAAGAAGAAACAACGCAGAGGGAAAAGTACTACAAATCAGGGTGGATTTAAATCACGATTTAAATCACTAGTCGGTAAGACTTGATTTAAATCATTTTTTACAGAAAGACTGATTCTTGCTGGTATATAAGGTTTCGTTTTTGGAATAATAAATTTTCAGAGTAGTTTTTACAGTTATATCAAAAATTACTGATTTGGTTATACTGTTAGAAATACATAGATAATTATGAAATTATTGTGAGGTTTAATAAGTTAACTGTTTATAGGGGCTATCTCTCCCAGCAGCCCTGGCCTTGGCGAGGCTGGCCTTCCTTTTTCTGATGGGGTGGGGAGGAGAGATACAGTTGGTAGGCCTAGACTGGAACAGGCTTGCAGAAAGAACAGGCCGAGGAGAAACAGGCTGGTGGAAAGCTGGAAAAGGGGAACCAAGGACTGGAGCAGAACTTCAGGGATTCCTGCTGCAGGACCGAAGTTCCAGGTAGAGGCTTTATTGTTTGGACAATGTCAGGCGAGCCCCGGGAAGAAGGGCCTGGAACCAGTGAACTCTTATTAGTTGACTGGCTAGCACTTCAAGGTCTCCCCAAGGACTTACAGATCCCAGTTACTATTTCCACCACCACCCCTTTGGATTTGCTTCTACATTCAGGTGCCTATTCTGTACAGTTAAGTGTTAGTGAAGTTGTTGGAACCCAGTGGGATTGAGAAGAGGTTGCCAGCCCTGAAGTGCCTTCAGCACTTGCCCCAAATCTGAGTTGCACAGATATGCAACCGACTTGCACAATTATTACACAAAGATCCCAAGACTTGAGGCGTATTCTGCTCACAAGGTTGCATTTTCATTTTTTACTGCTTCACACTTAGCGACTTGTGCAGATCTATTCCACTCCAAACAATCTATTCATTGAACCTCTTGGAACTTAGCATTTAAGAGGTATGGGGTTGGTTTGTGTGTATAAATTTGCAAAGGAACAATGGATTTTTCCCTCAATTCTGTATGTTTATTTTATAACATTTTTCCTGTGAATAAAAGGCATGTTATCTCTGCAGACACAAATTCACATTTTTGAGAACTGCAAAAATAAGCACCTGTGATAATCTCGTTAGAAAAACTGCCTCAAATAACCTTACAGAAACCTCTGGAAGAGCATGACATTGTGAACGGATTAGTGGAATTCATTTACCAAAAATTTTAAACATTGCATATAAAGCCTCATGCTACATAATTAAAAACAAATCATTCTTTCCTGATGAATAGCCTTTGGACTATAATGTAACTTAAATAGAAAACCAAATAGAAAGTCGAACGTTTTTGCTCCTGAATGCCGCAAACCTGGAAGTGAGTGTTCCAGTTTTCGAACGTTCTTTGGAACCTGAACGTCCGATGTGGGTTCCACAGATTCCAATTGGCTGCAGGAGCTTCCTGCAGCCAATCGGAAGCTGTGCCTTGGTTTCCAAACGTTTTGGAAGTCAAATGGACTTCCAGAACAGATTCCATTTGACTTCTGAGATACGACTGTACTGTATTTCAAATCTCAATTTTCTAGCAACGCTAATGACAACCAAACAACTAAGGTTTATCAGAGACAGAATATGTGTCAATATAATTAATAGTAATTGAAGAGGGCACAGGAATGTAGCAAGAGAACCATAGGAGAAGATATTCAAATAATGTAGAGCTGAAGATAGATAAGAATCCCACCACTTCCTTCAGGCCTGGGCTCATTGGCTTATACTTTTGGCAGTGACAGTAACCTCTGCCTGGAGGGAGAACCCACATCTAGTTCTTACTGAAGCCTCTTCTAATTTTTCACACACAGGAAATATGTTTCTGACCATTTTGGTTACATCAGCACAACACCCTACACTAAAGATCTCCATTTTCTGTCTTTAAATGTTTCGTTCTCCCACAGGACAGCTGTGCAACTCCCAAACAAATACAACCTTCATCCTTCATTTTCTCACCAGCCAACAGCTTCTGTGAATGTAAGCGCAGGGCTGGATGCAAAAGGGTACTTGGCAGCCAAAAAAACAATTAGCCATTTATAAAAAAAGTCCCTAAAACCCTGCCATTGTAGTCTTAAAGCCTGCTCAGTAACCACTCCTACAGGAGGGCCACTTTAAGAAGGAATGGGGTGGACTAATCCATTCCTCATCATTCAAAGCTTCCGTTTCAGCAGACACCAGTACCACTACCCTGCCTGTCAAGCAGCAACTGGCAGACCAGGTAAAACCCCTCAGGAGGCCAGATTTGGCCCAGGAGTCTCCAGTTGCTGATCCCCACTTTAAAGAGACCCATCTCAGGAAGGATGCATATTGCCTCTGATGAAACTTGTGTCTTCACCCTCAAAAATAACTATATTTCCTAAGAGCCTCATGCAATGCTAGATATAACAAATCCTTTTGACAAGCGTATGAATGCAGGAGGTATTAAACGCAAGGAACAGGACCGATGAATGTTCACTCTTCTTTCAGGAAATACTTTTGTCCCTTCAAAATCACTACTTTCAATCTAAGAATCAGACCTTGTGAACATTTGGCTCAGTTCTACTTCAAAGCGAGTGTGAATAGGGTCAGACTGCAGAAGAACTATGATACAAAACAGATGGTCTACCACAGGGTCGGCAAGGTTTACCTCGCCTGGGCCAGTTCACTCCAGTGGAGATCCCTCTGTGGACTGGATTGCACACGTGCATGAGAGCGCACACCCACGATTTCCAGCGTCTGCGCAGACGCGATTTCTGGTGTCTGTGCATGCGCGATTTCAGGCACAGCAGAAGTGAGTCCCTACACTGTGCTGGTTTAGCGCAGTGCACAGGGACTTGCTGAGCGGGCGGCTCGTCTCGTGGGCCGCTTGTGGCCCATGGGCCTTAGGTTGCCTACCCCTGGTCTAGCACTATGTTACCGAATTTGCTACACCAAGATGTGTTTGGAACTGTTTGCAATTCTTATAGAGTTTATCCACAACACTGAATGCACCAATGTTTGTGAATGCTGACGAGACGTGCATACTCTGTTGTTTCACAATGCAGCTACATTGAAAAAGAAAACCATCATTCATGAATCAACCTAACCACTTTATTATGTATTCTACTGTGGCATAGGCTGCAAGGTGTATGCTGACATAACAGGACTCTGGTGACTGAAAAGTCATTAAGATGATGCATAAGCCCCAGTCAGTACTCCAGCTGACACCAATCACATCCTTTCTACACTCAGATTCCTTAGGAAATGCAGAGCCTTTAGTTAAATTATTGGGGGACCCCACAAAAAATGGTCGGGGGCACATTTGGGCCACGGGTTAGTTACTCTGTTATATTTTTTAAAAAATAATTTTTATTAACTGGCCAATCACATCAAATTAAATCATATCACATAAATTCCAAATTACAAAGCCAAATTTTAAATTTTGTTGGGGGGACCCACATTTCAAGATCCGAAGGGGAATTCTGATCATCATCTTCTTGCTGCTGCGTTAATGTCCCAATCAGTCCAAATCAGTCCAAACAGAGTTCATAATTCTATCCCATCTTATCTTGCTGTTTCCACATCACATCTTGTTCATATATTTTCTCTTTTTTCTTTATGATCTCTTCTGATAGTCTCCTTAAGCCGATAAACACCAATAGTAATAGTAGTCCTGTGTGAATTTTCCGTTCTTCCAATACTCAAATCGAGATGGTTTCCATATATCATCTCCTTCATAGATAACATCACTCTTTCCATCATAGTCTCGTAAAACTGTCACTCTTAAGTCCCACTGAGGAGTTTAACCCACAATATATAAACAGCTCTATTTCTCTCTTTCTCCTCCCAGACTCAAGACCTCCGACAGAACTTCCCAATATGGCAACGGCATTTTTAACTGCATCATTCCAAAGCTCTTACACATTCCACGCTCTTCTTAAAACATGCTGTGGTTCGAAAGTTTATCTCCACACAGCCTTAAATCCACAGCTTAAGTCCTTAAAACGACATTTCTGACTCGTGAGGGGAGGGGATTCTTGTTTAATCACATAAGAAAAGAAGGAAGAGTTTTTTCCCCCTCCCCCATCAGTCATTTGCCGTACCTTGTCTTGGCGTATCTTCTCATGTTTTATTCTTATCTTGTTTTGTCAGAGATCTCTTCTGTTAGCAGTCTTTACTCCCCCTTCTTTCTTGAAATATGTGCATTCCTTTCATCCAAATTGTTTCTTTTGAAGTTCTTGCATCTAGTGGCGCGAGTCAGGGACGGCGTCCAGGAGTGCCGAAATCCCACAGGAGGGCTTTGTGCCTAGTGCCCCCACCCCCACAAATTCGGGGGTGGTATAGGGCACAGCAGGCAAGGGCCATCTCCCCCACAATCCTGGGGGGGGGTTAAGGAGGCTAATTACCCCCATCATAGCCTCCAAATTACCTCGTGTGGGTTGGAGAGATGTTATTGTCAGCCATCTTCCGATGCGCCCCCTAGTGGCCCCCCTCGTTACTCTGCTTTAATATCTGCAGGCAAGAAGGAAAAGCAGCCTCCATCTGGATCCCGGCTGACGTCAGTCACCCCCTTTCTTCACTCTGCTCTTTCCCCTAGGATGGCGTCACGCTACAAACCCTGCCCTCCACCATCCTTCTTCACTGAACAGCACTGAACAATACTGCATCCCCACATTCAGCAACTGTGATCATTATTTGCGCAGTTGCCATACAATGCTAGAGTGACACTGCAATATCCTGGATATGAACTCAATGCTGATACAATGCTACAACTAGCATCAGGCCAACACCAGGGGGGTTGTGCTATATGCACAGAGCTGTTGGCACACATCAGCCCCTGTCAGCCCATTTCTCAGTAAAAATCTAAACCGCTACAAAAACCTGGCTTAGGGAGGAATTGGATGTTGCATTAGTTGATGGAACAACCCCCCATCTCCTGCCCTCCCCACTGCTCTGGAGGTTCTTCCAAGGCTCCCCCACAAGTCAATTTGAGGGTGAGGGGGGTAAATCCATGTTGGAAGACTCATTAGCTAAATTCCACCTTTGATGTCTAGAACATCCCTTTAAAAATTAAACCTCAAACTGGTTCACCATAGTAAAGCTTTTCATATTCGTCTTGCAAGTGCCAGTTCTCTCATTAATGAAACTCCCAGCTGCCGTGTACTAAACAGAAAAGTGCACTCCATGTTCAGACTCCTGCAGTACATCAGTCTGATCGACGAGCAACTGTGTGCATCTTAAGCTACGTGCTTTCTCTGTTAAACCTGACAGCCTTGGGTAAATCAAAATTGCTGTCTGCAACCACTATCTCGCCTTGCTTCTTGCTCAATGAACATATTTCCATTAGCCTCAAGTACTGTAACAACCTTAAGTGGTTATTTTGTATACTGTCAGGGACAGCAACATATACAACAGAGATGCACACCTTGCACTTCTAAAAATATGGAATCTTGATACAATTACAGGGGTGGAGGAGGGGAAAAGAAAAATACTGAGCATGGCTACAGATGCATTGCATTCTTACGCCTGTGCAATAGAACGTTAAAGAGAAGTTTGCAGTATTTGAATTATTAGAACTAATGTGCACACAAACTCTGAAGCCAGGGGATGCATATTCAGCTGTAAAGGAATGCCACCAGATGAGAACTTTGGCTGTGCACTTTGAACGCGGGCTCCTGCATCTTTGTGATGCAGCCTGTTTACATAGATCAAGAGTCATTTGTTGACTGTGGACTTACCCCGCCCCACACACCCTATAATCACAAAAGAAAATCGCTGATGTAGTGTTCCAACTCATCCCATCTTCCTTCCATGTCACCACTAACATTACTGTAGCCAGTTCAGACTGCTGCATGCTGAAGTTGGACTGCTTCATGAAATCACTTCATGGGTCCCCACACGTTCACTTCCTCGTGGCAATGGTGCAAACTACATGCACCAACAAGCAGTCAATATCCCTGGTAGACACGGGTGGGGAAACTGGCAACTATCAAGAGTACAACGGCAGTTTTCTTGCCAGTTACCAGGAGTGGTGAAAGACAACCATCCCTACTACATAGCACCTGTAAGGTACTAGGTGTCTTGAACTGGGGATTCTGGCAGGACACTGGAGGCAGAACATAGCCATCCTGGCTTGTGGCTATTGATAAGTCTTATTTTCCATGAATTTGTCCAGCCTCCTTTTGAAGTTGGGGGTCATCACTATAGCCTGCAGGGGTGAATTTCATAGCTTAACTATGTGTTTTGTGAAGCAGTACTCCTTTTGTTTAACCTGAATTATCCAAGGGAACTGAATGCTGGAAAGTCTAGGGTTCTAGTATTTATGAGGGAGAGAAAAAGTTCTCTTTCTCCACACCATGCATAATCTCAAATACCTCTATCATGTCTCCTTCCCCTTATTGTTTCCTTTTCCTAAACTAAAAAGCCTCACATGCTGTAACCTTTTCTAGTTGCTCCAGCCCCTTGTTCATTATACCAGCACACTCAGAGATGGCACTGGTGTGGCACCTTGTTGAATCTGCATTCTGTAGCAAACCCACAAATGTGTAAAATGATCTCCCTAATGTAGGTTCTCTACCCCACTTCATGCTGTTCCGAGTTAATACTCGTGCTCAAGCAAAGTATATTTTTTGCCTCTCTAAACAAGCCAGAATTCCCTCATACAAGATCTCTAAGAGTCTAAGGGATCACATAGTGGAGTTTTCCTGTTGAAGGACTGTCTTCCTGTGTACGCTTTTCCATATATTTTTATCTGATCTCCTAGAACCTGATACAAGCAGGTACCAAACCCCTTTCGCCCACAAAAACTTACCCCATCAGCACTTGCAAAAGACATTCCCAATAGCAGAGGGAGCTATTTGGTCCTGCAACAGTAGGGGTGGGGGTAGGGAAAGGGAAAGCGAAAAAGAGAGAATATAAATCAGCCCTTTCTGGAGTCTTTCAAGACAGAATAAAAAAGGTGGGAATAATTTGACAGGTCAGCTGGCACACTTAAAAAAAAAAAAAGATTACAAATTGTGTTGTACTTTTAATAGGTGCCTGATAATCAGAAACTGCCTTAAAAAGGCATGCACGTTGTCCAGATCATTTTTATCATTAAAGGAGGAGAATACTGCTGGCACAAATACAAACACATGGAGAATGCTGCTGGCATGTCTAGACATAGGAGCACTTTAGCACTCCAAGCTGCTGAGTGCTGCAAAGCTTACGTGACTCACAGGTCTGTGTAGTTGAAACAAAATACACTTGGGGAAGTCAATCTATTGCATGTTGATACTACATGTGTTCAATTGAAATATCAATCATTTAGCCCAATTTGCTAGAAACCCACATGGTTTTCATTTTATCTTCAGTATATGCATATGAATTAGAAGAGCTGTATTTACAGCTTTAAAATGTAACAGCCATCTATTTGTTTTGAATTTAAAATGCTAAAAGCAGTAGATTAAATACACAAATTAATTCAAAAATAACTGTTTTTGCTTTATTTAGCAGGAACAAGCCCTAATGTGATATAGTTACGTCTTTGGGAGCTTAGAGTGCAACCTAAGTGTGGATACACATCTATCCAAAAGTAAGCTTTGTTGACTCAAGGGAACTTCCTGTGTGTGTGTGTATGTTAGATAGAGAGGTATATGCAAAAATCCTTAGATGGCAGAAAGACAGGCAAGTATGCATGGGTAAAGAGCAGCTGTAAGGGAACCTGTGGCCTCCAGATGTCATTGGGACTATAACTCTCATCATTCCTGGCCGTTTCCCATACTAGCTGATGGGAGCTGGAGTCCAACAACATCTGTAAGATTGCACTTCCAAACCCGTGGTTTAGAATATGATGAAAAGTTAGCCTTGGACATCTTCAAGTTTTTCTGCAACCTTGCCTTGAACAACATCACAAGCTGTGCGCTTCTGAAGGTTGCTTGAGTTTCAGGGACAACTTGTCAGGTGATGGAGGGAAATGCAGTCACAAAGGGGCTGGGTCTAGATACTTGACTGCAGGCACAAGTGCCCAGGGGCTCCCATGTGCACCCGCTATGCCACTGCTTTCTAAGGTTAACACTTGGCAAGGATCAGCTGCTACACCTTGAAAACCAGCCTTCTGCTGACACCTCCAGCAGTCAGCTCCAGCCACACTAGATGGCACACTTAAGTTTGACAGCACAGCAGTCAGCTTCATCCAGGTAGCAGCAAGGCTATATTGGGGTTCCTGAACCAGCTAAGACTTTTCTCCCATGAGCCAAGAAAGTCAGGAATCCCTTTCTTACAGCTGCTGGTGATGCTCTGTATATCAGGGGTGGGAAACCTGTGGTCTTCCAGATACTTTTGAACTCCCAACTCCCATCAGCCCATAGCTGTCAACGTTTCCCTTTTTTAAAGGGAAATTCCCTTATTCCAAATAGGATTCCTCGCAAGAAAAGGGAAAAGTTGACAGCTATGCATCAGTCCCTGCCAACATAGCCAATGCTCAGAGACCAGGGGAAACTGTGGTACAACAACATTTGAAGGGCCAGATTTCCCACCCCTACTGTATATGGAATGCCAATAGCTGCATCTTTCCCCAGGCACCAAAATAGTCCCTTCATCCATAGCACATCAGGAAGAGCAATGCCCCACTTCCTCTACTCACCAGAGCACCTTAAGAGACATTGCCTCATTGGCTTAAAACAACCAGCAGGAAACTTGGTGTGTTTATGGCCCAAGTTACAAGGGATTATGACAAGCCTAGCTTGTGGCAATATCAGGATAATCACTGAATCTTGCAGAGCAAAAAACAAAAACAAAACACGAGACTTTTTCTGTAGAATATGAGCTCCTAGAAGCAGCTGAATATATTGACATTATACTGTTTGTCAAAGGGGTGTGCCAGACTTTGAGGCCACCATGTCTTCCTTGTCCTGAGTTCTCAGTAGCACCCCACCAAAATATCCTGCTATGCTAAAACATCTTTCCAACAGAAAGTATTTAGAAAGGGCTTCTGTTGCCTTGTAACAGTATGAAAGTTGCATCCAGCACCTCCTCTCCAACCACTGCTACCTGTTCTAATTCTAGGTGCCTGTGTTTTGCTGAATGCATCTATGCCTCAGTCGGTTGCTTTCTGGCCAAGCTGGTTGTGGTGGAGCATTCGCGGCCTACCTTGGTGTTTCTTGTAGGATGAAAATAGATAATACAGTGGTACCTCGGGATGCAAATGGGATCCGTTCTGGAGCCCCATTTGCATCCTGAATAGCACGTAAGACACGACTGCGCAGGTCGCGTTTTGGTGCTTCCACGCATGACGTCATTTTGACCGTCTGCGCATGCGCAGGCGGCGAAACCCGGAAGTAACACGCTCCGTTACTTCCAGGTCGTCACGGAATGCAAACCGAAAATACTTATCCTGAAGCGTATTTATCCCAAGGTATGACTGTAATTCTCTCTTGTTCTCTTAGTTATGCAAATATATACACTAGCAGCACACAGCCCTGGCCCTATGATTAGGCAGAGTTCATCATCCACCTGAGGAAGCAGAAGCTGTGGATGGGGTCAAAGTGTTGGGGAAGACAGAGCTGTGTACCACATGTCCCCAAACCAGCTTCTTGCTTTCTTATGTAGTGAAGGATAGCCTCCCTGTCTAATTCAAGTGCCAGCCCAGTTGGCTTCTGTACATGGAATGGGGAAGTGACATCTTGTCCATTGCCTCAGGCAGCAAAATGCCTTGACCCAGCCCTGTTGACTAGTAAACACACAAGAGAAAGATCTTTCTTCTCCAGAAAACGATTGCTAGTAGAAGCTCACACAATGGTTAGACTCGGCCTTAAAAATTATGCTTGTGACATACAGTACGACCCCACACCTCTTAAAAGCTGTTCTTAAGAGGATCACACAAACATTGTAGGGTTTTCTTTTAGAACTACTGACCCATCTTTTTTGTAATGGCTTTATTTTTCTTTGGAAATTGTCATTTAATATGTTGTAATCTGCCTGAGTGGTGTACTCGAACAGCGTGCTATAAATGTTCTAATAAATAAATAAAATGAAACATTTTTTTTCTAGCGCTACACTGTGACTTTTAGATATGAGTCTCTAAAAATCACAGTACAAAAATACCCCAGCTTCTGCAAAGCAGGCTTGCTGCTGAACACCAGATGTGTGTAGGAGGATGGAGGCCATTCTGAATAGGAGTACAGGGGGAAGCTGTTTGACAGAAATTATCTAGGGTAGAATCATAGAATTGTAGAGTTGGAAGGGTTCACAATGGTCATCTAATCCAACCCCTTGCAATGCAGGAATCTTTTGCCCAATGCAGGGCTCGAACCTACAACCCTGAGATTAAAAATCTTGTGCTCTATCAACTGAACTCTTGCTAGCCACCCTTATACCACTGCCCAATGTTCTGCAGCTCCCACTTCATGAAAAAAGTATTGCATGAAGTGATAAGACTCAACCATAAAAGGAAATTAAAAGATTCTAAACACAAGGAGAGTGTGCTTGGCTTGCAAATGTACATACACACTCCAATACACACCTTAGCACTCTTATAGAAACAGGATGCAGGGAAAGGCTGTGGCTCAGTGGCAGAGCATGTTTTGTGGGTAGGTTGTAGAAGACCCTGGGTTCAATCTCTGGCATCTCCAGGTAGGGTCAGAAAAGACCCTTCTCTGCCTAAAATCCTTGTCTGGCAAGTGCAGACAATTCTGAGCTACACAGAACAATGGTCATAAGAATAAAAACAATTCTCAATAAAAAAGCATACATGTCACTTTCAGAGTCTTATTCCACCCTGAGAGAGAAGAGAAATACTTCTCCTATGTTGGTGTTTACCACTTACAGGTGTGTGTTTTAAATCAGGACTTCCGCTAAAAATGTATGTGTGTATGTTTTAAGCCTGTTCTCTAATTAGAGACACCTTTTTAGTCCTATCAAACAACTCAATTGATAAATCTGATTGAACAATTGAAAGGTTAAATCTTCTTCCTTTGGTACTGAAATCCCAACAGTGGGGGCAAGAGTCCTCATGGCCACTACTGTACTAAGCTTTTAAGAAACTGTGGGTGGTCCAAATATAGATGCCCCAGTATCACATCTAATTTGGCCCCCCAAGCTTCACACACAGAAGTAGGAATTTGAACTTGGGTTTCCCCATGTCCAAGGCCAACACTTTAGCCATTGTGACTACATGACTAAATGAACTGCACAAAATGAAGGCGAGGTTCTCTCTCTCTCCCCCCCCAACATCCTCACCCCATAGCTAAGAGGCATATTCATGCACTGGGGGGGGGGGAGTGCATCTTCAGAAGTTGCACATTCTTCTCCCAGGCCCCACACTAGATCACAAGGAGCAAGAAATTAAAAATACACAACTAATCACAAGCAGCAACATGATTTTTCAAAGCCTGAAGGAATTTCAGAATACTTTAAAAACTTGAACTAGAGAGAGATGATTAAGCCCATTCATCTTTTGTGAAGGGAGTGCCTGTGTACACTAACAATATAGCTTTAGAGACATGCCATCTTGTGAATTGACCTTGCTAACCACAGATTTTTACATGCAGAGCAGGATACTCTCTCTCTTTAAAAAAAAAAATGCATGAGGTTTCTGGCAGTTTCAAAAGGCCAGTGACATTGTACCTGCCCTACAGGGATATGAATAGGCTAAAAAAATAATCCAACAAACATCCTTGTCCTGCAAGCTTTTGTAAAGCACATGAGAATGTATGCATTTGTGAACACCCCCCCCCCCCCGAGGCATGACTGGTATTAACCAATATCTTTCAGGAAGGCTTCTAATCACAATACAAAGATCTCTTGAGAAACCCCTGACCACATTGTTCAAAGTTCCTCTTAAATACAAACCATGAAGTTGGAAGGGAGCCACTTGGACCTGTGGCTTAGTCCAGCCTTCTGGCACAAGTCAGGGCAATTAACATAACAACAATATACCCCTTACAGATCAACCCATGCAACTCAGCCCCAAGTTGTCCGGAACTGCAAGTGGGAAGAGCAGTGTTGCACTTAAGTCAGCTTGTGACTTAAGCACCTGCTTGGTTGACCACAGCGAGAACAGAGTGCCTAGCTGGGCCTCTGGCCTGATCCAGCAGGACTCTTATGTTCTTGAGCATCTCCTAGCAGATGCTCTGGTGGGGAAAATCTGTTCTGGGAGGGAGTCATCTCCAGGTGGCACAAGACAGCCAGCCAAGCCATGTGTTAAAAGAAAGGCAAAACTAGCCCAACATACAGACGAATGAGGGGTGAGAAACAGGGATCGTGCTCAAAGCAGTAAATCAGCTTGGAAATTTACTTGGGTGGGGAAGGGGTCCAACCTAGAAAGCAGACATATGAGTCTTGCCAGCTGAAAGGCAAATAATTATTTCAGTCTTTTCTGTTACGAAGTACAGTGGTACTTTGGTTAATAACTTAATCCATTCTGGAAGTCTGTTCTTAAACCAAACAGTTCTTAAACCGAGGCGCGCTTTCCCTAATGAGGCCTCCCACCGCTGGTGCCCTTCCACTATTCGGCTTCCGAGGTAAAGTTTGTAAACTGGGACACTACTTCCAGTTTTGCAGAGTTCTTAAACCGAATAGTTCGTAAACAGGGGTGTTCTTAAACCGAGGTACCACTATAGCTGCATGGGCAAGGATAGTCTTCAATTTGGATTCATAATGCACTTTTGCTGAGCTGGATGAACTGCTTGCAGCTTCTCTTACAAACAATATTTTCTGTGTACACAGGCAATCCTACTTTGTCATCACTCAAATACATATTGACATTCCTGGATAGAAATGCAGCCAATCACAGATGTAGCCAGCAGGAATTCCCACAATTACATCAATCCTCCAATCAGAAACTGATGCCAATTCACCCATGTGCAAATTTCACAGAACCCCTGCCCTGATTCTATGCCATTAGATAAATTACTGTATGAACGTACAAGAACACAAAACCGATATGGTTACTGTACCTCATTAAGTTTTTCAATGGAATGCAAAATCAAAATCTATGATCATAGGACCACTATACACCCTAAACACTGAACTCAGAATTAAAAAGGAAGTATCATCCAGACAGACTTGTGGCAAAATGCTTGCAAATTGGCCACAAAGCATTGCACTCTAGGCACTGGTTGGCAGCCCCATTATCAGTTTTGGGATACCAGTCTGCACAGCAGATTGAGTCAACTGCAGCACCTGTGCAGAAAAATAATAAATGCACTGGTTCAGTCTGGCCACAGTTTATAGAATTTTGGATAAAACATCACAAGTTAGAATTCAGTGAAGTATTACTATACAAACTAGAATTCTAAATGCAATCCTATTATATCTGACCATATAATTCCACTTATATACAGTCAATTCATTTAAAGAGATACAGCATGCAATCTGTGCTATGTCTTTAAAAATCAAGTTTAAAGAGAGAACATGCCTGGAAAAAAAAGAAAATCAAGAACCCTTCCCTGAGTGTCATTGTATCTTCTAAATTTTCTTTAACACCCAACTTCTCCAGGCCACTTAAATTAGGTGAAGCAGAGTAAATGTCAACAACCAAAATGTCTTTTTATCAGGGTAACCTATCACTATTCTCCTATTACTGTTATCCACAGGGAATAAAAATAAGTTGGATAAGGTAACATTTCACCTGTATAAGACTGACCTGTGATGTCAAATGCTACTTTTAGAGTTGCAGTGACACACTTTTGAGCCAGTGCAAAAATGCTCACTCAGCAGCTAGGGGCAGTCTGCAGGCCTGTCATCCTCTTCCCCCCAAATCGCATTCCTCCTTCCCCCGCCCAGCACTTTTCGAAGGAACTTATTTTCATAAAAGGCGGGGGGGGGGGAGTGGGAGGAAAGATGGGCGAGAGAAGCGAAAGGAGCTGCGCTCCTGTACCCCAGAGCAGGAAAGCAAAGGCCGGCTTGCGGCTGTGCCAAACCACGCTTGAACTCTAACCCTCAGCCAACATAGGAATGGCATGGTACAAACTCCAAGAGCAACATCCACGCAGGAGGGAAACGGGGAGCCAGCCGAGCAAAGCTGAGTCAGGGGGCAGGTGGCACTTCGCAAGCAGAGGAGGCGCTCGCTTAAAGGACACGGGATCCCCCGCCCCACACAAAAAGCAGCAGCCCGGGCAGGGGCGAGGGCTCGCCTTTCCGGGGTTGGGCCCTCGAGCCCCCTCAAACTTGGCAAGGCACCACCAGCCCCAGTCATGCCGGCCGACCCCCCCCCCCCCCCGCCCCACCTGAGCTCCCACAGGTTGCAAAGCCGGAGAGTAGCTACGCGCCCCGCGGAAAGAACCCGAAGGAAGAAGAAGCCATTACCCTCCCCGGAGCAGCCACATCCCACCTCCGCCCTCCGGGCCCGCCTGGAAGGAGTGCGGCCGCGAAAGCTGATGGAAAGAGAGGCGGCAGCGGCAGCCCCCACCGCTGCGGGCCCGCCACATGCCTCCGCAAAGCTCCGCCCCCGGCTCCCCCTCAGTCCCGCCCGCGGGCGGGACGGCCGCGCCCACGGGCCCTATCAGCAGTGGCGCCGTCCGGCGCTAAGGCCCGCCCACCTCCCGCGGCCCCGCCCCCTCGCGTCCTCCCATCCCTGGCCCGTGCTTCTCGAGCGAGGACGTCATCAGGCAGAACCCGGAAGCCCCGGCTTCCACGGATGGACATTCTGCTCCCGCCTCCCCCCTCCTGCCAGCTCTTTCGCTGCCTCTCCATTCACCAGTCGCGTTCCCTGACGTAGAAGCGCCGCGTTTCGTAATGCAGGGGGTGTCGCTTTAGGTGTCGGTCCTTGTGGGCTCTGCCCTTGCCCGGCTGCTCAGTGCCAGCGGCTGCTTCTTCAGCTCCCGTGGAAGACGGGCGGCTGCTGCGCCTTTTGCGTGGCTTAATGTTGGGGATAAAGCGGCTTTTTGCTGTTGGGGAACGGAAAAGAGAGGAGCAGCATTTCCATGCCCAACTCTATTAAATGTTTATTTACGCAACGTTTTTTAATCCTAATCTTGAAGGATTGTGGCTTCTTTCCACGAGCACAGCGTTTAAAGTCCCATCATTCGAGCATTATCGAAAATGTACAGTATCTAAATCCACGTAAAATCAAATCCGCCTTAACGACTTTTAAATCCATGGCACTGGTTTATTTATTTATGGCTTCTGCACGATTAGTGTAATTATATAATGTATAAAGACTGGGATTTTGTTGTTCAGAATATAATAGCAATGTGATTCTAAGGGCAGACCTGTGGTTCAACTAAAAGCGTGGGCCGAGAATCTCCTGTTCTCTATTTTGCAGAACAATCTCGCCTCCTTGAATACACAAAGTATAGACTTAGTTCTGTTTAGGAGGGAGAAAGACAAATCCAGTGGTACTTACTGCTGTTAATTTAAGGAGGCCAGAATCCTGTTTGTAAATAGTTATAGTAAGGAAGAATTGAACCAAAAGGTTCTGTTTGTTATTTTCTTGAAGCAACATTTAGCCTCTTCCACTTGTCCTTTTTCTTTACTTTTAAAAAAAATGGTCATAAATTTCATAGATGTGTTGGAGTCCTTGGGTGCATTTGTGCCAAGGCTGGATTAACCATTAAGCAAAATAAGCACATGTTTAGGGCATCAACAGACGGGGAGTACCGCAGAAATTTTCCATTGCTGGATTTTTAACATTAATGGTCATAAATTGCTCAGCTGACCATTCATTTTCTCAGCTGAAGTATATTAAAAATCCGAGCAGAACAGCAATGCAACAAGGCAGGCTGGATGCCTTATCTAACCTTATGTAACACATCTTCTTCTATACTTAGTAGAGATAGTTTTGAGGATCTGATCAAAGACTTTGCAATTGGAAAAAAGGAGAAAAAATTCCAAATATAAAGTGGAAGTATATTGTTTATATTTTGAATTAGATATATATGTGGGGACACCAAAATCTTAATTGCTTAGGTCCTCTAAAGGTTTTAATCCGGCCCTGATTTGTGCCAAACCTTGGACTCCAACCTATCACATGCCTAGTTACTTGGGTCATGCTACATGTGTGTATAAGCTGGGGTTTGACAGAGACGAGCAAGCTACTTTGGTCTTGGGAGAGACAGATAAGATGGATTCTAAAAAATATTTGCTTTTGGTGTTCCAAAAGCACTGAGAGCCAGTGTGGTGTAGTGGTTAAGAGCAGTGGACTCGTAATCTGGTGAACCAGGTTTGATTCCCCGCTCCTCCACATGCAGCTGCTGGGTGAACTTGGGCTAGTCACACTTCTTTGAAGTCTCTCAGCCCCACTCACCTCACAGAGTGTTTGTTGTGGGGGAGGAAGGGAAAGGAGATTGTTAGCCGCTTTGAGACTCCTTAGGGTATTGATAAAGCGGGATATCAAGTCCAAACTCCTCCTCTTCTTCTCTTCTCGTGTTAAGGGGGTGTGGAAGCACAGCTGGAGTTGTAGAAGGAAGGGAGTAGAAAATTATTTACCCTCTTATGTTAAACTGTCATCTAATCTGATTGTTTTTTACTTTTTTGTTTGCTGCGCTTCTGACTGCTGGCAGCTGTTTTGTTGATTTTGTCTATTTTTGTCTTATTGGAGTGACTTTTTGCAAACTGCATTTGGCTTTTTAAATAGAAGAGCAGCATATAAATAAATACAAATAAAGTTGATAGATACCTTGAAAAATAGACAATTGTTCCTTTCCTCAGTATTTTTATGGCATAGGTTGGGATGGGGTTGTAATGAGTTGCCTTTGTTTGCTTGACCTATGTAAGGCTTGCAGTGGCAAGAGCCATAAGACCTTTGCCTCCCCATATGCTTATTCTTTTAGAAAGGTTTGCCCATTAGTAATGAGGAAGGGGTAGCATTGTTTGTTTAGGTCTGTTTCTTGAAATTGTTTTGACATGAAACTCTTTAAAATCGTAATCTAGGTGAAGCTTTCTGCAAGGCATTTGACTGGCTATAATAATTCATATTGATTCCATAACCTGTATTCTGACCTCTTAGAATAACCTGCAACAGAGACTTTAGGTCTATATTAAGATCATGTGTGGGTAGGCCAGTTCCAGAACTGGATGGACAAATTGTAAATAGAGCTGCAGAGTTCTCGTTGTGCTATTTCTTTACTTTTTATCTGCAAACATTTTTTTTGGACAGGAAATGCATTGTCTGCCAACCTTCACTGTCCTCAGAAAGCCATCCAGTGAACCTGGAGCCAGTTACTTATCCCCGCAATTTAAGAACTACAGTAGAATAAGAGGACTTTAGGCTGCACAACTATACTCTCTTACCTGGGAGAGATAGGGATATGATCGCCACATGCAAAAAAAAAGCTATTTTAGTTTGTGGGAGCAACATGAGCACTATTTAAACCCCAATGAAGTATGTCACTCTAAAATGGGGGGGGGGGGACAGAACCAAAGGACGCTAAAGTCAATCATATCTAATTTAGAAGTCTGTACAATAAATAGCAGGATCTGGATTAATGTGGCACCCAACCACCTGTTTCTTTTAAAATAGAAGCAGCAGCAGCAGAGCAGTTGAAGTTTTACATTTTGGATGGATAGCATATTTTTTTTTCTGAAATAAAGCCACAGAAGTGAGAGGAAGCCAAGGTGGAACCTTTCAACAAACAACTGTGGTGGAGGATGCAGTGACTGTCTCAATGGGATTGTCTCTTGCAAGAAGAAGCAGCCCCAGGGAGCAACCAGAGCAGTAGCAGGGAACTTTTAAAAAAGCATGTCTAATTCTTAAAAGGTTGCAAAGTAACTGGAACAATGCCTGAGGATATATCTGAATGTGAGGTGTGTGTGTTTATGGGGGAAGAGACAGTCTTTCCATTGGTCAGGGCTGGGTAGCCAACATGGTGCCCTCTGGACAGTGTTGGACTACAGCTCCCATCATCCTTGATCACTAGTATCCTAGCTGGGCTGATGGGAGTTGTAGTCCAACAATGTCCGGAAGACACCATCTTGGCTACCCCTCGGTTGGGGCGGTGCTTCACTCCCCTGCCTACTTCTCTGCACGTGCCCCCCATGACTTGGAGAGGTGGAATAAATTACGGAAAACAAACTAGGTTCGTGAAAGGAACCTCTGCTTCAAACCTCAGATATGTTTATGTAGCTCCAGTGTCTAGTTCCAGCTGGCCCAATAATAGTTCCTTTATATAAGTCGCTGTGGCTCTGATGATTTGTGGGCATCATGCTGACAAAGGAAGCAGCTGCTGTGCATCCTGCCTGGTTCATCCCTGGCTGGTTCATCCTATTCCCTTGGCTTCTGTGGCCAGCATGTTTCTAATTCTCCCTCCCAACATGTAGGGGAGAAGCTTGGGAAAGGGGACCCATGAAACAACAGGGTGGAAGGCACAGCAATAGGACATTCTTTCAGTGTCTTGGAGAGCTAAAAAAATACAATCCTTTCCGTTTCTGGACATGCATTGTACCCAAGAGTGAAAACGGGTAATACATTTGGCAAGCTGAGTCAAGGCCTATTTAAAGCACCATGATCAATCCAGGAAAAATCCCAGGGTCTATGCATCCCCATAGAAAAGTCCCTGTGCCAGAAGCAATAACTGGCATCAATTAGGTTCAGCATTCCCACCCATCAAGGTTTTTTGGTGTGGGTTTTATTATTATTATTTTTGCTGTTTATGCAAAGTTACTGTACCACGTACATCAAATAAGAAGCAGCCCAACTCCAATCCAGCAAAGAAGGCGGGGTGAAAAGGACAAAAGATGTACTGTTCTGAGAGTTAGAATGTCAGAAATAGAAATGACAGGGCGTTGCAAAGGAATGGAACTGCTCAGAAGTGTTGGGTGATGTTTCCCTGAGTTGCTGTTAACCTGTCAGATTCTTTGGGATAACTTGCAATTTATAGCACTGTATAAATGAAGCTTAAATTAGAGGAGCTGGGGATAGTGATTTTTTTATGCTGAAAACTAGGGCGCTTTGAATTGTTTGATGGTTTTGTTGTTTTAGCGCAGGCCTGTCCAACCAGTTGATCGTGATCTACTGGTCGATCGCAAGCTGCCCCTGGCCTCCCCAAAAGCTCAATAACTCTGGTCAATCCAATGGGTAGATCACTGCCAGTTTATTCATAGTAGGAGTAGATCGCAGTCTCTTGGAAGTTGGAAACCCCTGCTAGTGTATTGGTAGCAGGGCTTTGCTTAAAGCTGAAAAGAGGTATAGAAATGCATACATCTTCTGCCATAGCAGTCCTTTGAGAAGATGCAATGGTATATATGGTAGGCTTGTGTTACCAGCATACATAGTTCAGGCAAGGGAGGGGGCCTGTGGGGGACCTTGGAGCCATGAAGCATAGAACAGCCACGACAATCAGAACATGTGAAATTGATTAAATTGACCCTGACTTTTAAGGCCCATTAGCATCAGGACCATTAACATCAGGACCTACTAAATAGGAGTTTGCGTTGCTAAAACCATGTTAATGAAAGACAATCTTACTCAGCTACGAGTGATTTCCAAAGAAAAAGAAGCATTTTCCTTTGTT